CTTGGAGAATTTTCCAATTTGCATCTTTGTAGATAGTACACAAGAGATTGGGGAAGGCCATTGATGAAGCAGCTGAAGAGCTCCTTAAGAGATGTCTTGGAGTGGAGATGGTTGACTACCAACATCTTTATTTGTGGCAGGTATGACCTAACCAAATAAGAGATTCTCCCCCTGTAATTTCCAGTTTTGCTACAGCTCCTCAATAACACAAGAACTAGGAGCACAAGTAGGCAATTCATCCCCTTAGCTGAAAACAATGACCTCGCGTTCTAGATTCCCCACTAGAGGAAATGTTTCATGTTGTCCATCCCCTTTTGACATCTTATAAATCTCCATTAGATCTGTCATTCTTCTTCAATCTTGCAAGTACAGGTCTAATCAGTTGAATACAGCCTCAGTGCTAAGGGTATTCACTCATAACTCATGTTTGAGCCAAGGCCGTAATGCAGTCAGGAGCTAAGTGGCCCTGGCGGAACCCAAATGGGGTGTTACTGAACAGGTTATTGCTGAGCAAGTGCTACTTGATCACACGTTCCATTACTTTACTGATGATTGAGAGTAGACTGATGGGGCTGGGTAGATTTGTCCTGCTTTGTGTGTACAAGACCAACATTTTCCAGTAACTTGCACTTGAACAACTTGGCTAGAGCACACGTCTTCAATACCATCATAACAATGTTGTCAACACCAATAACTTTGTATAGTAGCCACTCTAGGAGATAGTAGGAACTGCTGATGCTGGAGTCTGAGATAACAAGGTGTACAGCTGGATGAACACAGCAGGCCAGGCAGCATGAGAGGAGCAGGAAAGCTGACTTTACAGGTCTGGACCCTTCTTTTCTGAAACATCAGTTTTCCTGCTTCTCTGATGCTGCCTGGCCTGCTGTGTTCATCCAGCTCTACACCTTGTTAGCCACTTACTTCTTAACTGTTTGAAATCATATGGAGTTGGCTGCAGACTAACATCTGAGATCCTCAGGACCTAGACAGAGGCTGAGATAGATTATCCACTTAGCACTTCTGGCTGCCTATTGTTACAAATGCTTCTGTCTTACCTTTTTCCAGTGAGATGTTAAGGGTTTCCTCATTATTAAGGGGTACCTGCCTCCAAGCATCCATTCAGAATGTGGCATTCTGCAGATCTGTTCTTTCACTTATTTAGAAGATGTTTTGAAGTTTTATCTGATTTAGCAGTGATACTGATACACAACACAAGGTGTTGATAGTGAAGGCAGCACTTCATCTTCACAAAGACACAGTGATGGGCACATGAGAATCATTCCAACTGAGGCTGAGGCCATCTAATCCATCTACAGCGGTACCTGTTATTTCACCATAGCCCTACATGTCTGTCTATAAAAATGCTCACCTCGATTCCTTTTGAGGTACTGATCAAGCTCCCCTCCATTGCAAGGGCACAAAACCAAGTCCCTTGGATTCCCATCCACACCTTTTACCCAAAACCTTACACCTCATGGGTTGGGGCTTCCTGTGGATTCTCCTCCCTTGTACTCATTGACGTAGTGAAGGACTAAACACCCTTCATTTTGGGGTTGGGGGGAGGAAAAAAGGAGAAGAGCTTTTCAAAGAATTCATAAGCCTCTGGAGACATTTTTCATTTCATCCCTGAATGACCCATCAGTTAATTGGATTATCCTGTCAATTCTCTTCATAAAAGTTTGTAAGGTCCACAGAACTAATGGCTTAGTTGTTCACTAAATTGTGGCCTTGATGCGCACATCCTATTAAGCTGAAAGAAAAAACACCACCCTACCCTGCAAAACAAACTTATTATGTTCCTCCATGAAATTACATCAATGCTACTGTACTCCTACATGGCAGTATTTCCTTAATTAAAGGCCAGCATACCATTTGCTTAAAGCATTGACTTTCACTGTCCCCACTATTACATCATTTCCTAGCTACCATCACTTCTCAGGCAGGGTCACTGAACCAGAGATGTTAACTGTTACTTTCTCTACAGCTGCTGTCATAGAATCCCTACAGTGTGAAAACAGGCCTTTTGGCCCAACAAGGCCTCACTGATCTTCAGAGCATCCCACCCAGACCCAGCCCACTAAGCTACACATCCCTGAACACTACGGGCCAATCCACCCTAACCTGCACGTCTTTGGACTGTGGGAGGAAGCCAGAGCACTCAGAACATTCACACTCTACACAGTCACCTGAGGGTGGAATTGAACCCGGGTCCCCTGGCACTGTGAGGCAGCAGTGCTAACCGCTGAGCCACAATGACGCCCCTTCTTCACCAGTGCTTCAGATTTCTAGCATCTGCAACTCTTGTATTTCTATATTTCATAATTCAAGTTAGCATAGCTTGTAAATAGCAGAGATCCAGCCATCAATTCTTGCATTAACCACCTTTGTTTTGTCCACTAGCCAGTCCTCAATCCATCTGTTAGATATTTCTAGATAACCTATTCAAAACATGTATATAAGAGTTCAAGTCATCCTATTATCACAGGATAAATGAGGCCTAATCTCAGTAAACATTGACATTCTAAAGTCCTACACACAGTCTCCAAATTGGTAAATGCAAATACTTTTACCTACCTTGTTCCTGAAAGCACACTGACTCTCACTGGTAGGTATCAGATCCCTAGCAGGTTTACAATAGGGCCCTAGTTAATCGAGGGGAACACGACACATCATAACATCTCACCTGACGCAAAATGAGTGTGGATAATGGTGGACAGACAGACAGACAGACATACCCCCCCCCCCACCCCCAAACCTTCACTACTGCCAAAACAGTTACAAGTCAGTTAATTCTCAAACTCCCTACAGAGTCCACCTTTACAAAAACTAAACCGAAGAAATAAACTGTTTATTTTGCATTCAGCTACAGAAGCTGAAAGTTTGCATTTTAACTTCTCCATTTGTAATTTCCCCACACTGACTGACCTTACTATGAAGGACTCTCCTCCTCACCCTCTCCCCTTGCCAGAGAGTTTAGCAACCCTCAGCTAAAACCACCAATTACATCTCTAGTGACAACAATCCTAGGCCTGCAAGACTGGCAACTATAACTGGAAATCAACTTGTTCTACAGGAAGCAGAGTATTTCCTAAATCAACCTTTTCAGAGAGGTTATTGTTAGGCATGGTGTGATTCTAACCCAGTGCACCACAAAAGCACCATCTACCTAAAATAAAAGATCTGGTTTCAGAGGATATCAACTCTATTGATGCTCCCCCATCCCTAGCTCTGGTTATCAGCTCACCAATTTTAAAGTGTAACTCCTGCAGAACAACAATGAACCAGCTTGGCAAGCCAACCAACCTCAACTCCTTCTAATCTTATTTTAAAACATACTTCTCCCCACCCTCTCATAAGGCTTGAATCAATAGTCTGCATCAAGGCTTCAGTGAATTTATTTTCACATCCATTCTCTACTGGGTTTTGGGAATGCAAGTATTTTCAACTGTTACCTACTCCATTGTTTGTACAAAATGCATCACTTACTTTGTAAAAGCTGAATAACTACAACACTTCCAACTATTTTATCTACTGTGCTATCACCAAAGTAGATTTCTCCTGTTCCCTCCTTTGGATTTTAACAGATGACTGAACAGTAACATGTAGATATTGTATGCATGCCAAGGCCAAGAGATTTGTTTCATTTAACAGGAACAAACAATTATTAACTACCTATACTTGGAGACAGAGCCGGTTCAGTTTGCAGTCAAGATGAAATGGGTTTTACACTGAGGCAAGTTACAAGATAGAAGCAAAACTTGAAGTTCACAGCAGTAATCAGGCCAAGATTGCAATCTGGATTCAACAGAGCAGCATCCACTGGTAATAGGCTCAGTGGTCAACACTGCTGCCTCACAGCACCAAGGACTGGGATTCAATTCCACCCTTGGGTGACTGAGTTTGTAATCTGTCTGCATGGATTTCCTCCCATGAATATGTGGGAGTTAGATGGATTCGTCATGTTAAATTGCCAGTGTCCAGGGGACTCAAGAACAGGCCAAATGGCCTGCTTCCACACTACAGGTATTCTATATTATGACGCTTGGATTGATTAGGAGATACTGCTAGGTAGTGTTGTGTATAGTGCATGTTCTCAGTCCAGTTTAAAAAAAGTCATGAGACAAGTACAGTTTATATGGAGAACCTAGCACTTTATTGAGATCTCAGCATTTGGACTTCTGATAACAGACATACGTAATAACTGCCAAGTTACAAAAAGGCACTTGCCGATCACAGCAGTGGCAGAGGGCATGTAAACAGGCTGGCTTCTCTGTACAACACCAGCCAAGAGGCCCTTCACCAAACTGCCGCACTCGCCTGCCCCTGTGTTTAACACCAACCAGACCCCCTTGTAGGTTGAGCCCAAGGGATTTCTGTAGGACACCTCAGGCCTACCAGGGATACTGGGACTGAAGGAATTGCAATATATATCTTAAAAAAAATATGGTATCTTTTAAGCTGCCGACTGAGACAGTGGCTTCTCTGTAACTACGCCAAGTCTCAGAATAAATAGGAACGTAATATTATTCAAGTATGAAGGTTAGATTCCTTGAGCCATCACCTGGCTGGCTTCTCTGTATCGACACCAGCTTTCACAATGGCTGCAATATCCATCTGTCTGAAACTCAGGAGCTCATTGTGCAGTTATGGATTAATTCCTTAGAAGAGAAAGAGACAGTACCAAAAGTGTGCAACCCACAGGCCTTGGAGAACAGACCTTGACCCCCAGGGAGGTCTGGGCCACCAAGGACCTGTACAAAGAAAATAAAAAGAGTAAAGAGTTTAAAAATGAGGTTTGGCTAGTGCAGAAACAACAATGCATAGCTGTTGTCAATTCCTTAAAAACCCTTTTTGCTTAAAAATCATTACGTACGTCCTTCAAGAAAAACAAGTG